GAACTTGATGAGATCTCTAACAAGTCCCCGTACATCACATCGGGCATAAAAGTTAACCACAACCCATTTTTCAATTTTTACAAGCCTAACTAATGTCTGAAGAAAAAAATCCAGTTAATAAAAATTCACAATAATTAACTGAGAACAAAAAAATATAGATGAGAAGTTGAATTAAATACCTTTTGATTGAAGTTCCACCTCCCATTTATTGGATTGAAATCCTCCCCATTTTCGAACTTTAACCGAACATAATNTTGGTTGTCTGGCCCATGTTCACACACCTGATCAACAACGAATTAAGCTTGATGACAAGAGTAAACAGTGTGTTTTATTTGGGGTCAGCGATGAATTAAAAGCATACAGGCTGTATGATCCAGTCAATAAAAAAATTATAATTAGCAAGGATGTAATATTTGAAGAGCATAAGGGCTGGAATTGGGAGTATAACAAAGTAGAGAATCAACATAATATTGTTGAATGGGAGAAACATGATGAAAATAGCTCTGGTATACAACTTGACACACCAAACAGTGAGGAGCTGCAACAAACAGAGTCACAAAACACTGCTGAAACAAATTCCAGAGTTGACACATCAGACAATGAAGAAATGCAACAAGAAATGCAACAAGCAGAGCCACAAAATACTGCTGAAACATATTATAGGATTGAGTCTTATAATCCAGTACTTGAGACTCCATTTGAAGTGAGGGCTAGAAGGCAATGCAAAAAACCTGTTTGGATGGTAGATTATGAAGAAGGAGAAGAATTGTCTGATGATGATACAAGGGCAATGCTTACAACAGTAATTGATCCAGAAAGTTTTGAAGAAGCTGTCAAGAGTAAGAAATGTCGTGATGCAATGGAAAAGGAGATGGAAGCCATAGAAAAAAATGAAACGTGGGAATTAATTGAGATGCCAAAAGAAGTGAAGCCAATTGGAGTCAAATGGGTATACAAGACCAAGCTCAAGGAGAATGGAGATATTGACAAATAAAAAGCAAGGCTAGTAGCAAAAGGATATGCACAACATTATGGAGTGGATTATACAAAGGTATTTGCACCTGTTGCCAAACTAGACACTATTCGTATAATTCTTTCATTGGCTGCACAAAATGGATGGATCGTTTTTCAATTGGATGTGAAAAGTGCATTTCTTCACGGAGAGCTTAAGGAGGAAATTTATGTACAACAACCGATTGGGTTTAAAAAGAAGGGAGAAGAAGATAAAGTATACAAGCTAAGAAAGGCACTATATGGACTCAAACAGGCACCAAGAGCATGATACAATAAAATAGAAGGATATTTTCTACAAAATGGCTTTGAAAGATGTTTTTGTGAACATACATTGTTTACAAAGTCAGCCGAAGGAGGTAAAATTTTAATTGTGACTTTATATGTGGATGATCTAATTTATACTGGAAATGATATAAAGATGTGTGATGACTTTAAAAGTTCCATGATGTTGGAATTTGACATGACTAACTTAGGGAAGATGAGATATTTTCTTGGAGTTGAAATTCTGCAGAATACACATGGAATTTTCATGTGTCAAAGAAAGTATGCTCAGGAGGTTTTATCTCGATTTGGTATGCTGAACTGCAATGCTGTCAAAAATCTGATTGTACCGGGAACAAAACTGTCTAGGAATGATGCAGTGGCCAAGGTGGATGCTACTCTGTTCAAGCAAGTAGTTGGAAGTCTCATGTATTTGACTGCTACTAGACCAGATTTAATGTTTGTTGTCAGTTTAATCAGCAGATTCATGGCTAACCCCACAAAAACCCACTGGTCTGCAGCCAAACAAATTCTAAGATACTTGAAGGGGACTACTGAATTTGGAATTCTCTACAAAAAGGGAGAAAAACTGACACTGGTTGCCTATACTGACAGTGACTTTGCTGGAGATATAAATGACAGAAAAAGCACATCTGGATTTGTTTTCATGTTAGGAACTGGAGCTATTTCATGGTCCTCCAAGAAGTAGCCAATTATAACTCTTTCTACAACAGAGTCAGAGTATGTAGTTGCTGCAACAAGTGCATGCCAATGGATTAAGAGAATATTGTAGGCTGTTGGTTTCAAAGATCATAAACAAGTTATGGTTCTATGTGATAGTAGTTCAACTATTAAATTATCTGAAAACCCAGTGTTTCATGGTAGGAGTAAACATATTGATGTTAGATTTCATTTCTTANCAGGATTTTGAGACTTTGCAGATGAAGGAAGGAGAATCAGTAAACTCCTATTTTGCACGCACCTTGAAAATAGCCAAAAGCATGAAGGTAGTTGGAGAAACCATGAAAGAAAACGTGATAACTGCAAAAATCTTGCGATCCATGGCAATCAAATTCAACTACGTGGTATGTTCCATTGAAGATTCCAATAATATGTATATGATGACTATAGATGAATTGCAAAGTAGCTTATTAGTACATGAGCAAAGAATGAAAATGTCAGTTGAAGAGGAACAAGTTATGCAGACTATGGTTGAAGATAGAAACAACAAAAGAAGTAGAGGAAGAGGAAGAGGAAGAGGATCCTTTCGAGGTAGAGGAAGGGGCAGGCAAATGTTTAATAAAGCTGATGTAGAATGCTTCAAATGTCACAGATTTGGACACTTAAAGTATGAATGTACTATGTGGGAAAGGAAAGCTAATTATACAGAAATGGAAGATAAAGAAAAACAAGAGGATGAGCTCTTATTAATGGCTATTGTTGAGAGCAAAGAAGGAGGGGATGAGTGGTTTCTTGACTCAGGTTGCAGCAATCACATGAGTGGTAATAAGGAGTGGTTCTCAGAATTGGATGAGAGTTTCCGACATAAGGTAAAATTGGGAATTAACACTCGTATAGCAGTAATGGGGAAAGGAATTGTGCAGTTGATGGTGAAAGGTGTTGTTCATGTTGTTTCTCATGTATACTATGTTCCTGAACTCAAAAATAATTTATTGAGTCTCTGACAGCTGCAAGAAAAGGGTTTGAGCATAAATATTCAAAATAACAAGTGCAGTGTTGTTCATCCAGAGAAGGGGCAAATTATGGAGATTCAATTGAGTGTAAATAGAATGTTTGTTTTGACAGCAAAGGTAGCAACAACATGCTTCCAGGCAAATGTGGAGGATAAGTGTCAACTATGGCATAATAGACTTGGACATTTAAGATATGATGGCTTAAAATTGCTTCACTAAAAGAAAATGGTGACAGGGCTGTCTTCAATTACCACTCCTTAGAGTCTCTGTACACACTGTCTAGCATGAAAGCAACACCAAAAAGCTATGTCTAAGAAAAGTCAATGGAGAGCTTCTAAGAGACTGCAGCTGATTCATGCAGATTTATGTGGGCCCATTCAACCAACATCAAAGAGTAATAAAAAATATTTTCTAAGTTTTATTGATGATCTATCACGTAAAACTTGGGTATATTTTTTGGGTGAGAAATCTGAAGCTTTTTCTTTCTTTAAAAGCTTTAAGGCAATGGTTGAAAAAGAAATTGGAGAAAATATTGTATGTTTAAGGACAGATAGGGGAGGTGAATTTTCTTCAAAAGTTTTTGATGATTTTTGTAGAAATCATGGAATAAGGAGGCAATTAATTGCTTCATATACTCCCCAGCAGAATGGAGTTGCTGAAAGGAAGAATAGAACCATTATGAATATGGTTTGTGCAACCTTGAATGGAAGGCATGTCCCTAAAGTTTTCTGGCCAGAAGCAACAAAATGGTGTGTTTATATTCTGAACAGGAGCCCAACAGCAGCAGTAAAAGATAAAACTCCTGAAGAAGTTTGGAGTTGAGTGAAGCCTTCTGTAGATTACTTTCGAGTCTTTGGTTGTCTGGCCCATGTTCACACACCTGATCAACAACGAATTAAGCTTGATGACAAGAGTAAACAGTGTGTTTTATTTGGGGTCAGCGATGAATTAAAAGCATACAGGCTGTATGATCCAGTCAATAAAAAAATTATAATTAGCAAGGATGTAATATTTGAAGAGCATAAGGGCTGGAATTGGGAGTATAACAAAGTAGAGAATCAACATAATATTGTTGAATGGGAGAAACATGATGAAAATAGCTCTGGTATACAACTTGACACACCAAACAGTGAGGAGCTGCAACAAACAGAGTCACAAAACACTGCTGAAACAAATTCCAGAGTTGACACATCAGACAATGAAGAAATGCAACAAGAAATGCAACAAGCAGAGCCACAAAATACTGCTGAAACATATTATAGGATTGAGTCTTATAATCCAGTACTTGAGACTCCATTTGAAGTGAGGGCTAGAAGGCAATGCAAAAAACCTGTTTGGATGGTAGATTATGAAGAAGGAGAAGAATTGTCTGATGATGATACAAGGGCAATGCTTACAACAGTAATTGATCCAGAAAGTTTTGAAGAAGCTGTCAAGAGTAAGAAATGTCGTGATGCAATGGAAAAGGAGATGGAAGCCATAGAAAAAAATGAAACGTGGGAATTAATTGAGATGCCAAAAGAAGTGAAGCCAATTGGAGTCAAATGGGTATACAAGACCAAGCTCAAGGAGAATGGAGATATTGACAAATAAAAAGCAAGGCTAGTAGCAAAAGGATATGCACAACATTATGGAGTGGATTATACAAAGGTATTTGCACCTGTTGCCAAACTAGACACTATTCGTATAATTCTTTCATTGGCTGCACAAAATGGATGGATCGTTTTTCAATTGGATGTGAAAAGTGCATTTCTTCACGGAGAGCTTAAGGAGGAAATTTATGTACAACAACCGATTGGGTTTAAAAAGAAGGGAGAAGAAGATAAAGTATACAAGCTAAGAAAGGCACTATATGGACTCAAACAGGCACCAAGAGCATGATACAATAAAATAGAAGGATATTTTCTACAAAATGGCTTTGAAAGATGTTTTTGTGAACATACATTGTTTACAAAGTCAGCCGAAGGAGGTAAAATTTTAATTGTGACTTTATATGTGGATGATCTAATTTATACTGGAAATGATATAAAGATGTGTGATGACTTTAAAAGTTCCATGATGTTGGAATTTGACATGACTAACTTAGGGAAGATGAGATATTTTCTTGGAGTTGAAATTATGCAGAATACACATGGAATTTTCATGTGTCAAAGAAAGTATGCTCAGGAGGTTTTATCTCGATTTGGTATGCTGAACTGCAATGCTGTCAAAAATCTGATTGTACCGGGAACAAAACTGTCTAGGAATGATGCAGTGGCCAAGGTGGATGCTACTCTGTTCAAGCAAGTAGTTGGAAGTCTCATGTATTTGACTGCTACTAGACCAGATTTAATGTTTGTTGTCAGTTTAATCAGCAGATTCATGGCTAACCCCACAAAAACCCACTGGTCTGCAGCCAAACAAATTCTAAGATACTTGAAGGGGACTACTGAATTTGGAATTCTCTACAAAAAGGGAGAAAAACTGACACTGGTTGCCTATACTGACAGTGACTTTGCTGGAGATATAAATGACAGAAAAAGCACATCTGGACTTGTTTTCATGTTAGGAACTGGAGCTATTTCATGGTCCTCCAAGAAGTAGCCAATTATAACTCTTTCTACAACAGAGTCAGAGTATGTAGTTGCTGCAACAAGTGCATGCCAATGGATTAAGAGAATATTGTAGGCTGTTGGTTTCAAAGATCATAAACAAGTTATGGTTCTATGTGATAGTAGTTCAACTATTAAATTATCTGAAAACCCAGTGTTTCATGGTAGGAGTAAACATATTGATGTTAGATTTCATTTCTTAAGAGATCTTGTCAAAGAAGGGAAAATCAAGCTACACTATTGCAGTACTCAAAATCAAGTAGCTGATATAATGACAAAGCCACTCAAATTAGAGCAGTTCGTGAAATTCAGAAGCATGCTAGGACTAATTGAAGCATCAGAAATAAACTAAATGGCTTATTTGAGTATTTAGTTTAAGGGAGGGATTGTCAGTTATTTATGCATTTTAATATTTGTTTTAATGCAATTATGCAGATTAAATAAAAGGGTCAGTTTTTGACCGGGTCTTTAGGAAGAGATAGCTAAAATTTAGCTTTTGTAACCTTCCACATTTAGTGGGCAGTTCAGTTGTTTTCTTTTGTGTGCCACGGTGATAATTTCACCTATAAAGATGTATTCTTTTTCAGTTTTTGAATTGATAGAGAAAGTATCACATTCAGAAAACAATTTGTTACTTACTTGTGTTCACAATAATACAATTGAAGGAATATCGGTTTGTCCTAGGGAGCCATGAGACACGTCCATGCCAATTACGATGGTGGGAGCTCTAGAAACAACTAGGATAGAAGGGGCATGTTCAGCTCCTAAAATAGAATTCAAGCCACCAAGCTGCATAATGAATAAAAATCAGTGATAACAAACGAAATACAAGATGTAGAGCATAAATACAATCCAGTGCAAAATACCATACCTTGGAATTGACCTTCAGTAAAACATTGGTCAAGTACTGATCATTGACCCTTTGAGGTGCTATACACTGTGTAACAACAACAAAATTAGCAAGATTCCTCTTCTTCCACGAACCTTCGAGGTTTAATTAATTTTAATCTATAGTGAAACTTGAACAATTACGTATGTTAACCAGTAAAATACAGTTAAGGATGAACCATATACATTTGCATATAGTTCAGAAATTTTTCTATGAGGAAGAAGACAAAGAAGAAATTATGGAGGCCTTGGATGTTTAGATTGCACAAACTCAAGCTTTTTTTCTCCACTCTAACTAGGGGCGGGGATCGTTTATTGCGAAAACCTTCTTCAAAGACGTCAAAAGGTTGTCCAATCCACTGTAAAAAACAAATAAAAAATGTAGTCAACATGTTTATTATGCTTCCAAGTGAACATTTAAATGGAGAACTTACAATTCCTTTCATTTGACCGAACTTGATGAGATCTCTAACAAGTCCCCGTACATCACATCGGGCATAAAAGTTAACCACAACCCATTTTTCAATTTTTACAAGCCTAACTAATGTCTGAAGAAAAAAATCCAGTTAATAAAAATTCACAATAATTAACTGAGAACAAAAAAATATAGATGAGAAGTTGAATTAAATACCTTTTGATTGAAGTTCCACCTCCCATTTATTGGATTGAAATCCTCCCCATTTTCGAACTTTAACCGAACATAATGTTTAATTATAAGTTTCAAAATCAACAAACATTAATAATTAATAAATCAAATTCTACAATTTCTCTTAGACAACACATAAAAATTGATCATGCGAACATCAAAAGTTGTACTATCTAATATCTAAATAATTAAAACAAAACAGTACCTACAAAAGAAAGTCATCATTCACAGTAACTGAATAAACCAAAGAAAAGGAAACGCCAACTTACAACATTTTTTCAGAAAATATAACATAGCAGAATTTAAATAACCTATTGTTAACAAAATTTAAGTAACCTTTCAAATTTCAATTTCAATGACGTTTATAAAATATAAATATACAAATAAGACTCACAATTCACAATTCAAAGTACTAAAATAATTATTAAAACATTAAAAAATTTACCCTTGGAGCTTGTAAAACATGACCTTCAACTTCAAAAAAGCCAGAGTTGATAGAAATACCACAATTACGAAGCATAGGTTCAAAACCATCATAGTTTTGACTCAAAGCCTGAAATGATAAAAACAACATCAGCTTCGCCCGTAAATGTTTGCGTCATAGCAATTGGTCAAAATAAATCACAAAGAGACTAACATTTGTCAACACTCGCATCCTCTCTAGTGGCTTCTGCCTAGACTTCTCCACCAATGAGGATCTTTGGAGTGTGGTTAGAGCTTTAGTATAGCGTTGAAGAGATACCAGAGGGCAAAGCTAAGAAAAAATAAGTAAAAAAAATCTTAATCAGTGATGTCCGATTTCAATTTCATATTGTCTACTAAACAAAAACAAATCAACACATTATACCTTAAGGGGAATATATGTTGGCCGCTTCGGCTTTCCATCATTAATAAATGGTATATCACTTGAGTAGCGAAGATCTATGTTTCGACGATTAAAAATTAATCTCAACTTTAAAAGTTTTCGCTCTATTTGGGTGCCTCATTCTCTTCTTGTCGTTCTCACCGATTTCTCCATGTCCATCAAGGCTGGCATTTCCATTATTTGTATCCATACATGTTCAAAGGAATTTACAGAAAAAGTTACACAGCAAAAAAATTCGCATATAAGCCACTATTCAAAATGAAAAAACAAAACATGTGAACCCGCCAACAGAGACAACATCCTTGAGAACAACAGTAAACTCAAGACGATTACGGGCAAGAGAGCCAAGGGTAAAAAGAGTTTTCTCACCATATAATATGCAAAATCCTTCTTGTTTAGTTCAAAATTATATGTCTCTTGAACTCTGTTGAGGACCTTTCTCCCTACACAGTTACCCTCTACAAGGCGTCCATCTTTATACAAAGAGATACCTGATCAAACACAGACACTGAAATCACCATCTAAATAGACAGAAAATTAATGATACAGAAGAAACAAAAGAACATACACTAAACTGGAAAAAGCGATTGTTAGTGTTTCCAACATTCACTCTAAAGTGATTAATGAGAAGTTGCAACTTCATCCCTTTAGAAGCAAGGCCACACCTGGCTATTAGAAGCCTCAAGACCTTCTGGTGAGGGAAGAATCGAAGGAAGAAAGGGAGAAAGCTCACTTGATGGAAAAATCGAAGGAAGAAAGGGAGGAAGCTCATAGTGGTGCTGGTGAGCTCATAAGTAACGACAACCGTTGATGACGTACTTTCGAAGCGAGATCTAGGCGGTGGCGGCTTCCACCTTTTGATGGAGGTGAAGAAAGGCCTTGGCTCTCTGTTTCATGAGCGAAGAAGAAGGAGAGGGGAATGGAGCTGGTCGNCGGTGATAATTTCACCTATAAAGATGTATTCTTTTTCAGTTTTTGAATTGATAGAGAAAGTATCACATTCAGAAAACAATTTGTTACTTACTTGTGTTCACAATAATACAATTGAAGGAATATCGGTTTGTCCTAGGGAGCCATGAGACACGTCCATGCCAATTACGATGGTGGGAGCTCTAGAAACAACTAGGATAGAAGGGGCATGTTCAGCTCCTAAAATAGAATTCAAGCCACCAAGCTGCATAATGAATAAAAATCAGTGATAACAAACGAAATACAAGATGTAGAGCATAAATACAATCCAGTGCAAAATACCATACCTTGGAATTGACCTTCAGTAAAACATTGGTCAAGTACTGATCATTGACCCTTTGAGGTGCTATACACTGTGTAACAACAACAAAATTAGCAAGATTCCTCTTCTTCCACGAACCTTCGAGGTTTAATTAATTTTAATCTATAGTGAAACTTGAACAATTACGTATGTTAACCAGTAAAATACAGTTAAGGATGAACCATATACATTTGCATATAGTTCAGAAATTTTTCTATGAGGAAGAAGACAAAGAAGAAATTATGGAGGCCTTGGATGTTTAGATTGCACAAACTCAAGCTTTTTTTCTCCACTCTAACTAGGGGCGGGGATCGTTTATTGCGAAAACCTTCTTCAAAGACGTCAAAAGGTTGTCCAATCCACTGTAAAAAACAAATAAAAAATGTAGTCAACATGTTTATTATGCTTCCAAGTGAACATTTAAATGGAGAACTTACAATTCCTTTCATTTGACCGAACTTGATGAGATCTCTAACAAGTCCCCGTACATCACATCGGGCATAAAAGTTAACCACAACCCATTTTTCAATTTTTACAAGCCTAACTAATGTCTGAAGAAAAAAATCCAGTTAATAAAAATTCACAATAATTAACTGAGAACAAAAAAATATAGATGAGAAGTTGAATTAAATACCTTTTGATTGAAGTTCCACCTCCCATTTATTGGATTGAAATCCTCCCCATTTTCGAACTTTAACCGAACATAATGTTTAATTATAAGTTTCAAAATCAACAAACATTAATAATTAATAAATCAAATTCTACAATTTCTCTTAGACAACACATAAAAATTGATCATGCGAACATCAAAAGTTGTACTATCTAATATCTAAATAATTAAAACAAAACAGTACCTACAAAAGAAAGTCATCATTCACAGTAACTGAATAAACCAAAGAAAAGGAAACGCCAACTTACAACATTTTTTCAGAAAATATAACATAGCAGAATTTAAATAACCTATTGTTAACAAAATTTAAGTAACCTTTCAAATTTCAATTTCAATGACGTTTATAAAATATAAATATACAAATAAGACTCACAATTCACAATTCAAAGTACTAAAATAATTATTAAAACATTAAAAAATTTACCCTTGGAGCTTGTAAAACATGACCTTCAACTTCAAAAAAGCCAGAGTTGATAGAAATACCACAATTACGAAGCATAGGTTCAAAACCATCATAGTTTTGACTCAAAGCCTGAAATGATAAAAACAACATCAGCTTCGCCCGTAAATGTTTGCGTCATAGCAATTGGTCAAAATAAATCACAAAGAGACTAACATTTGTCAACACTCGCATCCTCTCTAGTGGCTTCTGC